CCTCTCCCCAGATGGCAGCCTGCGGCAAGTGCAGCCGGGCTGATGGCTGAGTGGTGTGTGTGCCTAGTGTGGGTAGTCAGGGCACTCCAAGCCAGGACTGCTTTGCAAGCGGGGCACCCCTGAGAACTGTCTGTCCGGGGTGGGGGTCGGGACCCTTTAAGCTCAGCCCTCGGCTAGCCTGAGACAGCATCTCCACGCTCTAAGTCCTCCTCTGATGCCCTGCCGGCACTGCTTCCGGCCATCCTTAAGCCCTGTTCAGGGTCCACTTAATGTGGACATGCTAGTTCGAATTAGCAAAACGCTAATTCGAACTAGTTTTTAGTTCTAGACGCGTTAGTTCGAATTAGCTTAGTTCGAATTAACTAATTGGAACTAAGTTAGTTCGAATTAGCGCTGTAGTGTAGACGTACCCTTACTGACCTTGTCTATCTCAGTGGAAAAAAGCTCATACAAAATGAAATACCTTAAAGGCAACCTTCAGGGCATTTATTGTAAAGCCATTAAAAGTATAACATTATTTTATAGAAATTAGCATAAACACTCCCCCTCTCCAGAATTGCTTTCCTTCTCATTCAGGCCCCAGTTCAGGAAAGCACATAGAGATTCAAGAGCAGTTATTCCTTGAGTTGCACATTCAAATATTAACTTTGGAAGACTTTCTTTTGCAACAGGCAACACTGTTCAGAAATTATAAATGAATCAGAAGTGACAAGGAGGAGGTCAAAATTCTCACAGTCCAAATAGATATATATTTTAGGGCTGTTAAGTGATTAAAATTAATCATGCTGTTAATAATAGAATATTTTGGATGTCTTCCACATTTTCAAATAAATTGATTGCAGTTACAACACAGAACATAATGTGTACAGTGCTTAGTTTATATTTTTATAACAAGTATTTACACTTTATAAATATTATTTCTTTTGTTTTTAAATTCCCGCATTGCAAGTACTGTAGTGAAATCTCTTTATTGTGAAAGTTGAATTTACAAATGTAGAATTGTTTTATTTTTGAATATTGCTTTGTTTTACACAATATAAAACTTTAGTGCCTATAAATTCTCTTTGTCCTATTTCTTGTTCAGCCAATTGCTCAAACAAGTTTGTTTTACATTTGCAGGAGATAACGCACCTTTCTCTGGAATGGTGGTTGATGTATGAAGGGACATATGACTCTTAGGGGCATTTGGCATGTAAATATCATGTGACACTGGCTACAACAGTGCTATATGAATGTCTGTTCTCACTTTTGGGTAACAATGTAAACAAGGGTTACGTCTACACTGGCCCCTTCTTCGGAAGAGGCATGCTAATTTAGAACTTTGGAATAGGGAAATCCGCGGGGGATATTTGAATCCCCCGCGGATTTCCCTATTCCAAAGTTCTAAATTAGCATGCCTCTTCCGAAGAAGGGGCCAGTGTAGACGTAACCCTTGTTTACATTGTTACCCAAAAGTGAGAACAGACATTCATATAGCACTGTTGTAGCCAGTGTCACATGATATTTACATGCCAAATGCCCCTAAGAGTCATATGTCCCTTCATACATCAACCACCATTCCAGAGACATGTGTCCATGCTGATGACTGGTTCTATTCAGTAACAGTCCAAAGAAATGCAGGCTTCTGTAGCTTCTGCATCACAGTATTGCTCTTTAAAGACTTCTGAAAGCATGTTTCACACTTAGTCCTTCTCAGATTTTGGAAGGCGCTTCAGAGTATTAAACCTTGGGTTGAGTGTGGTAACTATCTTTAGAAATTTCACATTGGCACCTTCTTTGTATTTAGTCAAATGTGCAGTGAAAGTGTTCTTAAAACAAGCAACATGTGTTGGGTCATAATCTGACACTTCTATAACATGAAATATATGGCAGAATGTGGGAAAAACAGAGCAGGAGACTTACAGTTCTCTCCCAAGGAGTTCTGTCAGAAATTTAATTAGCATAGTATATTTTGCACATTTTTTAAGAGTCCTTAGCAAAGAAGCATGTCCTCTGAAATGGTGTCTGACACATGAAGGGACATACGAATTTATAGCGTATTTGGCATGAAATACTTTGCAGTGCTGACTACAGAAGTGCCATTTGCTCTCCTATTCTCATTTTTAGATAACATTGTAAATAAGCAGCAAGTAGCATTATGCCCTGTAAACAGAAACAAACTTGTTTTCGCAATTGTCTGAATGGCAAGTAGGACCGAGTAGACTTGTATGCTCCAAAGTTTTGCTTTGTTTTTGAGTCATTATCTAATTGACCCCCCCCCCTCCCAAAATCTATCATGAAAGTTCAACTGACAAATTTAAAGAGATTGCACTACAGTACTTATGAGGTGACTTTACAAAATCATATTTTTGTCATTCTTATAGTGCTAATATTTATAATAATATAGAGCACTGTATTCTTTGTATTCTGTGTTGTAACTAAAATCAATATATTTGAAAACATAGAAAAACATCCAAAATATTTACTAAATTTCAATTGGCATTCTATTGCTTAACAGTGTGATTAAGACTATGATTAATATTTTTGAATTAATCACAGTTAACTCAGGAGATTAACAACCAAAATATATTACTAAATTATCGCACTTCATATAAATCTTCACAATGTATTCAATTAGATTTCAGAGCTGTGACATCCCATAGCAGCTAAATGGGGGAGGGGGAGAAGAGATTGAGTGCGAGAGAGAGAATTCTCTTTATGTTTAGAAATTATATTATGATGTATTTATCTTTATGAATATCTCTGATTTAGCTCTTGTATACGGATCTCATGGAGACGTATTTACATACTGTGATCTGTCTAGGAGACATATTTACATACTATGATCTGTCTAGAAAACCTGTACTTTTTGGTGCTGTTTTTAAATTTCTGTTTGATCTTGAATGAATCACTTAACTTTTTCTGTCTCTAAATTTTCCCCCATTTGTAAAATGTGTATAATAATATTTACCTAACTTACAGTGAGTTTCAGAGGCCTTGTAGAAGTCTGAAAAGCATTTTTGGGTCCTTTACTAATAGACACTATGGAAATTCCACATATATGTAATTGAGAGGAAAATAGGCATGCTGATTTAATTTTAAGATGGAAAATTCAATTGGGATGTTGAATATTGGTTAACTGAATAGTTGATTAACCTCATGAATTCTTATTGGTTACTCGACTATTCAGTAGTCCCTGAGGCAGGACTGGCAGACAGTACGCTCTGGCCCCACTGCTGAAGAGCCCCCTACCCCTCTGCTGCTGACTCTGATACAGAGGCAGCAGTGCGGGATGCTAGGCAGGAGCTGATCTGCCAGGGGAGCCATTTTAAAAACCAGCTCCCCTCGTGAACCAGCTGCCTGTTGCCCTGCGCTGCTGCCTCTGATACAGAAGCAACTCTGTGGGTTGGCAGCTGCCCCTATCCAGGGCTGAGCTTCCGGATCTGGCGCAAGCCGGAACTGAGCCGGGCTGCATGCCTGACTAGCTGTTTGTGCACTTTAAATGCAGAGCCGCAGTGGGGGTAGGTCCCAGACCTGGTGCGAGCCAGGACTGATCTGGGCTGCTGGCCAGCTTGCTTAAAAAATGTACTGGTATGGGGCGGGGGCGGGATGCGTGTAGTCTCCAGCATTAACTGATAAGCTTTTGCTTATCGGTTAATCAGCTACGCTAGTACATCCCCATATTTTCACAAGTGTTCAATAATGGCCAAACTGCTCCCAATAATGGCCAAACTGCTCCCATTGATGGGCCAAAGTATTTCACAGTTAGCCCATTGAGGAATACTTTTGAGAATCCCGCTCTTAAATAGGATCAACATTTTCTTGCTGTTTACTGCTAATTACTATTTAACCACAGTGGGAGCATACGCATATACAGACAGTCCCTGACTTACGCGGATCCGACTTATGTCGGATCCGCACTTACGAACGGAGCATTCTCGCCCCGGAGCTCGCAGGCAGCGATCCGCCACCTCGACCACCGGGGCGAGAAAAGCTGCTCCCAGTGCCCCTGGTCTGCTGGAGACGGTCCCCAGCAGACCAGGGGCACCGGGAGTGAA